CAGAGAGAGGGTTTGGTTATCTCCTGCGTGCACCCCGACCAGGGCCGTGGATCAAGCCTGCAACGAGGTACATGCCTTTGACTAGAATAATGAGATACTAGTACATCCCTTGACCCAAATCGAACCAGCAACCCTTCAGTCCTAGGGCTGATTCTCTAACCACTGAACAACCGGCTACCGCATTAACCATTTCTAAGTGTAAAATTCAGTAATGCTAAATGTATTCACATTGCGGTGCAACCAGTCTCCAGCACTTTTTCGTCTTGCAAAACTGATTCTCTATATCCATTAAACAACAAAATGAACGAATGTTATGGGGTAAAATAAAGTGATATCTCAATAAAGGTGATGCAAAAGATTTTCATCTGCAGCTCCCAGGTGACATAGTGTCTGTGTTGAGACCCAGTTCAAATGCCACTTCTTGCAGGAAGTCTTATGTCTGTCCCCACCCTCAGTCCTCCGGTCCTCGGAGCGAGCACCCCTCTGTACAAAGCACCAACCCCCCACTGCCAGCCTGACACGAGCCCAGGACATACCCTGCGGGCCTGGAGCTGACACCCTCCTGACTGAGGCTGGAGGCTACGGGGTCTTTTGATGATGGCCTGTGTGACCTTGGGCAAAGCCTTCCTTCCCCTCTCTGGGGTTGGGATCTACTTGGCTGTGGAAGGCTCCCTGGGCTCGCCCTCCCCTGTGCTTTCTCCTTCTTCTTCGTTGATTTTTAGAGAGAGAGAGAGAAACATGATTTGTTGTTTCACTTATTTATCCATTCATTGGTTGATTCTTTTTTTAAAAATATATTTTATTGATTTTTTACAGAGAGGAAGGGAGAGAGATAGAGAGAGTTAGAAACATTGATGAGAGAGAAACATCGATCAGCTGCCTCCTGCACATCTCCTATTGGGGATGTGCCCGCAACCCAGGTACATGCCCTTGACCGGAATCGAACCTGGGACCTTTCAGTCCGCAGGCCGACGCTCTATCCACTGAGCCAAACCGGTTTCGGCCATTGGTTGATTCTTTTACTTATTTACTTTTATTATTGACAGTATTACAGATGTCCCCTACTCCCCCCTACTTTGCCTCCCTCCACCCATCCCCCACCCCACCCGAGGCCTTCGCCACACTATTGTCTGTGTCCATGGGCTGTGCAAATATGCATATATGTTCTTTGGTTAATCTCCTCCAGTCCCCTCCACCCACCTTCCCTCTGAGATCTGTCCGTCTGTCCCACACATCCATGTCTGGACCTATTTTGTTCATCAGTTTATTTTGATCATTAAGTGAGATCATGTGATACTTGTCTTCCTCTGGCTTATTTCGCTTAGCATAGTAACCTCCAGGTTCATCTACTCTGTCACGAAGGGTAAGGGACCATTCTCTTTTATAGCTGCATATATTCCACTGTGTAAACGAACCACAGCTTTAACTAACACTGCTATGAACATAGGGGTGCATATATTCTTTCTGATGGGTGTTTTGGGATGCTTAGGATATATTCCCAGAAGTGGGACCGCTGGGTCAAATGGCAGTTCCTTTCTTAATTAAAAACAAAATATATATATTTTATTGATTTTTACAAAGAGGAAGGGAGAGGTATAGAGAGTTAGAAACATCAATGAGAAACATTGATCAGCTGCCTCCTGCACGCCCCCTACTGGGGACTGAGCCCACAACCAAGGTACACGCCCTTGATCAGAATTGAACCCAGGACTCTTCAGTCCATGCGGCTGACGCTCTATCCACTGAGTCAGGGACAGAGCTCAGGGCTCCATTTTTTATTTTTTGAGGAAACTCCATACTGTTTTTCTTTTTTTAAAATGTATTTTATTGATTTTTTACGGAGAGGAAGGGACAGGGATAGAGAGTTAAAACATCCATGAGAGAGAAACACCGATCAGCTGCCTGCACACTCCCTACTGGGGATGTGCCCGCAACCCAGGTACATGCCCTTGACCGGAATCGAACCTGGGACCCTTCAGTCCGCAGGCCGACGCTCCATCCACTGAGCCAAACCGGTTAGGGCTCCATACTGTTCTCCACAGTGGCTGCACCAGTCTGCATCCCCACCAGCAGCGTACTAGGTTCCCTTTTTCTCGCATCCTCACCAGCACTTGTTTGTTTGTTTATTGATGGTAGCCACTCTGGCAGGTAGGAGGTAATACCTCATTGTTTTAATTTGCATCTCTCTGATGATTAATGACTTTGAACGTTTTTTCATATGTCTCTTGGCCATCTGTATGTCCTATTTGGAGAAGTGTCTATTCAAGTCCTTTGCCCATTTATTAATTTATTTTTATTATTTAAAAAATTTTTTTTATTGATTTCAGAGAGGAAAGGAGAGGGAAGGAAAGAGAAACGTCAATGATGAGAGAGAATCATTGATCAGCTGCCTCCTACACACAACCCAGGCATGTGCCCTTGACTGGAATTGAACCCAGGACCCTTCAGTCTGCAGTCCAATGCTCTATCCACTGAGCCAAACCAGCTAGAGCTTAAAAATATTTTTATTGTTTTCAAAGGGAAAGGGAGAGAGAGGGAGAGAGACATAGAAACATCAGTGATAAGAGAGAATCAGTGATCAGCTGCTTGCTACACACACGAACACACTGGGGATGGACCCCACAACCTGGGCATGTGCCCTGACCGGGAATCAAACCGTCACCTCCTAGTTCAGTGACGGCGAACCTTTTGAGCTCGGCGTGTCAGCATTTTGAAAAACCCTAACTTAACTCTGGTGCCGTGTCACATATAGAAATTTTTTGATATTTGCAACCATAGTAAAACAAAGACTTATATTTTTGATATGTATTTCATATATTTAAATGCCATTTAACAAAGAAAAATCAACCAAAAAAATGAGTTCATGTGTCACCTCTGACACGCGTGTCATAGGTTCGCCATCACTGTGACCTAGTTCATATGTCAACACTCAATCTCTGAGCCATGCCGGCCAGGCCCCATTTTAAAAATTGTATTGTTTAACTGGATTCTGGTGTTGAGTTGTAATCATCTATTGGCCACTTCCTGCACACCCCCTACTGGGGATGGAGCCAGCAACCTAGGCATGTGCCCCTGAGCCCATGACCTCCTGGTTCATGGGTCAACGCTCAGCCACCGAGCTACATCAGCCAGGCTCCCTTTTCTTTCTTTCTTTCTTTCTTTCTTTTTTTAAATATATTTTATTGATTTTTTACAGAGAGGAAGGGAGAGAGATAGAGAGTTAGAAACATCGACCAGCCGCCTCCTGCACATCCCCCACCGGGATGTGCCGCAACCCAGGTACATGCCCTTGACCGGAATCGAACCTGGGACCTTTCAGTCCGCAGGCCGACGCTCCATCCACTGAGCCAAACCGGTTTCGGCTCCCTTTTCAATTTGATGATGGTTTCCTTTGCTGTGCAGAAGCTTTTTAGTTTGATGTAGTCCCATGTCTATATTTCTTTCTTTCTCTTCATTGGTTGATTCCTGTATGTACCCTGACTGGGGATGGAACCTGCAACTTTGGCATATCAGGAAGACACTGGAACCAGCTAAGCTATCTGGCTAGGGCTTCCCCCAGCTTTTTCCTGCAGGGATGTGGGAGAGACTTCACCTCCTAAGCCTGGGAGTTGGGCAAGGAGAAGATGAAGGGTTTCCGTTGACAGATGAGGACCCCAAGGGCCAGATGAACAAGCCTGGTGAAGACTTCTGAGCAAGGGGATCACTGGCCAGCTCTCTAGTGAGATAGTCCTGGATCCCAGTCTGGCTAAACTGGGACCTCGGCTTTCTGTTGCTCTAGCAGGTGGGCACCTTTGGGCACCTAGGCTCCCTGTGCCACAGGGAAGATGGCTGGGTGGTTGTAATGGAGCACTGAGTGGTCACCAAGGCCCAAGGCAGGGTGGGGAAGACTCCAAAAAGGGCCCCAGCCTCCAGACCCCTCCCTGACTTCATGGTTTGTTCTCATTGACCACTCATGCTGCTCATATGGCCCAGCTCATTGTTCATCCAGGCAAAACTTCTGGGGAGCACCTGGCTGGTGTGGCTCAGTGGTTGAGCATAGACCTGTGAAACAGGATGTCATAGTTCAGTTCTGGTTGGGGCACATGCCTGGGTTGTGGGCTCCATCCCCAGGAGGGATGTGTAGGAAGGGGCCAGTCAATGATTCCCTCTCACCATTGATGTTTCTCTCCTCTCTCTCTCTCTCTCTCTCTCTCTCTCTCTCTCCCCCCCCCCCTCTGAAATAAATAAAAATATATTAAAACAAAAAACTTCTGAGTGACGATTTCACAGTGCCGTGTAGAGGGAGGGAATCCGGGAGTGTACAGGGTATTGGGGTCCAGGGTTCTCGGAAGGGGTGAAGGGAACTGCAGGCTGGGAACCTCTGGCAGGAACGCCCAACTCCTGGAATGCCCCCTGTGCCTGGGGTACTCTGCACAGGCTTTTGAACAAGAGGGGCTGGGAGGTCTGTCGGGGCGTCCAGCTTGCCTGGAGGGGTGGCGTCAGTGCCAGGGACACCTCCAGCTCTGATGCTTTGCCACTCCAAGGCTGGCCCTTTAAACCTCAGTCCATGATGTCACCATAGACAGCAAGAGGTGGGAGGGGGACTGCAGGCCTGCGGACGGACTGCATCTCCCGGCAGCCTGGGGTGCGCCACACCCTTCCCAGCAGGCTCTGGCCCGGGCGGACGATTAACCAGCCCGGTGCCGGTGCCAAGGGGACTCCACAGTGGCCATTCTGGGAGGGGAGTGGGGTTCCCCTGGGGTGGAATGGTTGGAGCAGGCCAGATCCTTGGGCCTGGCGGAGCATCGGGGCCCCGTGTTGTCATTGGCCTCGCTTCCTGTGCCCACGCCGAGCCCGCCCCCCGCCCCCTGCAGCCTCCCCCCGGGACCCGGGAGCTCAGCACCACTCGGACCCCACCCCCACTCTGCTCCGGCCTCGTCCCGGATGCCCGCGGGGCTACCTTCGGCCCGCAGCCCCCTTTCCGCGGTGCGGGGACTACATCTCCCAGCGGCCCGGGAAGCCCTGACGCAGCCCGCCCCGCCCCTGCCCGCGGGGAGGTGCGGGCCTGGAGGGGGAGGTGACTTGATGTCATCCTGAGCCGCTGGGCGGCGGGCGCCGGGGCGCATAAAGCCGGGGCTCCCGCTGCGCCTGTGGGTGCCCGACTGGAGAGGAGCTCCCCGCGCTGCCCAGCCCAGCCCCGAGCCCGCCGAGCGCCCGCGCCCCGACCCGCCGCCGCTGCGCGGGGGGATGCCCCGGCCCCCCCGGAGCCCGACAGGGAACCCAGGAGCGCCGCCGCCCCGCACCCGGAGCGGAACCGCCGGGGAGGAGCTCTGAACGGCCGCCCCCTCCCCACCTGCAGCCCCTGAGGTCTGGGGCCCAAAGTCTGCGGTTCTTAGAAGTGAGTGTCCCCCCACCGGAGGCAGATGAGATTTGGGAGGCGAGGAAGGAGCTGAGGTGGGGGAGGGTGCTGGGTCCTAGGAGGGGGTGGCATAGGGATAGGGCCCCCATTCTTGGGGCAGTCCCTAGTGGCCAGGGTTAGTGGGGCAGAAGTGGGGCCCCGTTCTATGAGGGGCCAGCGGGGAGGAACGGGATCCCCATTCTAGGGAGCGCTGCTTGGGGGTAGGCGCTCTGCGGAGCGGGGTTATTTGGAGCTGGGCCGTCAGACTGAAAGGAGGGGGACTTGTCTCCTGGAGGAAGGGGCCGTACCTCCGGGCAAGAGGAGGGAAGAGACCTGGGCGCCAGCAGCGCTCACCTGCTCGCTGCCGTCCTGGGAAAACTGACCGGCTCTCTCTGTCTCTTTCTTGCTGACCTCTCTGCCGACTTCGTTTTCAAAAGACCCAAGGTGGGAACCCCAACTGGACTCTCCGTGACCCCCAGGAAGAGCCTGAGGCCTGAACCATCCTCCTCTCTACCCTGCCTGCCCCCCAGGACTGGGCAGTTGCCGAAGGCCCTGGGGGGGGGCCCAGGACTCTGTTTGTGCCCCCCCCCCCCCCAGGATGGGCCCAAGTTAGTCAGCCAAGCTTCACCCAGCATCTTCTAGGGCCAGCGGGAGCCCCAGGGTCCTTGAAGGCTTCACCGCTGCCTGGCTGTCATGGAGACGAAGCTGCCCCCTGCGAGTACCCCCACCAGCCCCTCGTCCCCGGGGCTGTCACCTGTGCCCCCACCCGACAAGGTGGATGGCTTCTCCCGCAGGTCCCTCCGCAGGGCCCGGCCCCGGCGGTCCCACAGTTCCTCCCAGTTCCGCTATCAGAGCAACCAGCAGGAGCTCACTCCACTGCCCCTGCTCAAAGGTGAGCCCACCGCGGCTGCCAGGCTGAGGGTAGGAAGCAGCAGCTGGCAGCTGCCATCAGAGGGCGTTGGGGTAGCCCCTTCCAGGTGAGGGACTCCACCATCCGAGCTGACCCCCACCCCAGCCCTCTCTGCTGACGCATGGCCTGATTGGCCTGTCATCCTTGGAGGTGGGGCATCTGGAGGTGGCGCCACCCCGGGGGGCAGACCATGGCCAAGGGTGGGGCCCGCAGCCTGGGTTCCAGAGGCCACTTGAGGCCCAGGCGCTGCCAGGGTCCTGGAGCAGGAGTTTAGCAAGGCTCCCTGGGTCACTGTGTAACCCCCTACCTCCGGGCTACAGGGCCTGGCTGGCTGGGTGGGCTCTGACCTTTCACCCCACTTCCGGCTGGTAGGACAGAGTGCCACCTATGAGAGGGAGAGTGGCTGTTGGGGGCCCCTGGGGAACCCCAGCATTCAGGGTCTGTTCCTTGCTTTCACCTCAGGCCACCATGCCCTCTGTGGTCAGGAGGAAGAGGTGTTCCTTTTCCCGCAGGAATGGAGGGCGGGACGGGAGCCATCGCTCTCTGAAGGGGCGGGATGGCACAAGAGCTTGGGGTCTGGGGGCCCTAAGGATGGGGAGGGCTCGCCCCTCCCCAGAGCTGTGGCAGCTGGAGCCCAGGCTCAGCCCCTCCCTCCTTCCCAGATGTGCCGGCCTCAGAGCTGCACGAGCTGCTGAGCAGGAAGTTGGCCCAGTGTGGGGTGATGTTTGACTTCTTGGACTGTGTGGCCGACCTGAAGGGGAAGGAGGTGAAGCGTGCAGCGCTCAATGAGCTGGTGGAGTGTGTGGGGAGCACGCGGGGAGTCCTCATTGAGCCTGTGTACCCAGACATCATCCGCATGGTGAGCACCTGCCACCCGGCCTGCCGGGGGAGGGTCTGGGGGGCACCAGGACACTGCTGACCTGCGGGGGGGGGGGGGGGAGGGGGTTGGCCCTGTGAGAGAAAAACCCACTACCCTCCTGCGAGTCCCTCATCTCCCCTCCCCACTCTGCCCTCCCGTGCACCCGACCGGTGCCAGCTTTTGCTTATGCTCTCCCCAGGCCTGTGCGCACTGCCCCCTCCGCCCCCGCCCCAAGTCCCTGATTGCCATGGCCTGGCTCAGGTGCCGCTTCTTCCATGAAGCCCCTCTCAGTGCCCAAGCTAGGAAGCTCCCTTTTGCTGGCTGGAATGTCTGCAGTCCTTACTGCTTTCCATCTTATCTGCCCACAGGGCTGCACCCCCCAGAGGGCAGGATCCCCAGCCCCTGGCCCCGGGCTTCCATGATTAAGTTCAGGGAATGACTGCCAAGGAGTGAGTGCTGGGGCAGGTGCTGCGGTCCTGGCTTCTGCCTTTGAGGGCTCCCTCTTAGAGAACCCTGTCGGTGTCCCGCAGATCTCAGTGAATATCTTCCGGACCCTGCCGCCCAGTGAGAACCCTGAATTTGACCCTGAAGAGGATGAGCCCAACCTTGAGCCTTCATGGCCACATCTGCAGGTGTGAGGGCTGGGGAAGGTGGGGATGGAGCTTTAGAAGAGATGGCGGACAGCGGGGAGCGTCTCCTTAGGTCCTGGACTGCTGGGTGAGGGCCACAGGGTGGGGTGAGTAGGGGAGTCTGTTCTCAAACTCACCTTCTTGTCTGTCCCTTCCCCCAGCTGGTTTATGAGTTTTTCCTGCGTTTCTTGGAGAGCCCAGACTTCCAGCCCTCCGTGGCCAAGAGATATGTGGATCAAAAGTTTGTCCTGATGGTGAAGTGGGGAACCCAGGCCGGGCGGTGCCATGGGGCAGGGGCAGGCTCGCTGAGGGGCATGGGGATAGAATGGGAGCAGCCTGGGCTTGGTGTCTCTCCTGACCCTTGACCTGGGTCCCACAGCTCCTAGAACTATTTGATAGCGAGGACCCCCGGGAGCGCGAGTACCTCAAGACCATCCTGCACCGGGTCTACGGCAAGTTCCTGGGGCTCCGGGCCTACATCCGCAAACAGTGCAGCCATATCTTCCTCCGGTAGGTGCCTGCTGCCTGCCCGCGGAGGCTGGAGAGGGAGGCGGAGAAGACTGAGGCAAAGGCTCCCCAGCAGGGGGTCCTAAGGAACTCTGGTTGACTGAGTCCTTTCTTGGCAACATATTTTGTAATATTGATTTTTTTTTTTTTGGTAATATTGATTATTCAAAGCCTGTGAGGTCAGCAGAGAAAGGGCATTTATTTCCATTTTACAGATAAAGAAATAGAGGCTGAGAGAGATGAGGTGGTTTGCAGGGCCTCCCTCAGTCCAGGGGTGGGGGCGGGGGGGGGGGTCTGGGATCTATACCTTTTGACTCTTATTGTGCTCAGCCATAAGGACCTATAGAAAGATTCTTCCTGCCCGGCTGGCGTGGCTCAGTGATTGAGCGTTGACTTATGAACCAGGAGGTCACAGTTTGATTCCTGGTCAGGGCACATGCCTGAGTTGTGCGTGCAGGAGGCAGCCGATCACTGATTCTCTCTCATCACTGATGTTCCTATCTCTCTCTCCCTCTCCCTTCCTCTCTGAAATCAATACAAATATCATACTTACCTGGCAGGGGAGATACCATGATCATGAAATCAATACAAATATGTATTTTTTTTTTTTTTAAAGATTCTTTCAGCAAATGTGTATTGAGCACCAGTGCTAGCATGGCCTTGTAGTCGAGACTGGCTCTGAAGTTAGAAGGCCTGTATTTGAGTTTGGTTCCAGTATTTGGGTACTCGGGCAAACTATTTAAGCTCTCCTAGTGTCCTCATCTCTAAAATGGGAATGAAAGCTGTGTCAGGGACAGCCATCAAGATGAAGTGAGGCTGAGGCCGGGGCTACAGAGTAGGTAAGACACGACCCCTCAGACTCCCGGAGATCCCCTGCTTACTCACTTTGGGACAAGCTTCATTGAACCACTGAGCCTCGATTTCTTCATCTGTAGAATGGATCTATAAACCCTGCCTCCTGGGATAACTTTGGGAAGTACATAGCACAGAGGAGATGCTCTAAGTGCCTGACATTCTTTCGGTTGACTGGCACGAAGAGTGAAGGACGCAGGCCAGGTGCCTGCTGACTGGATGGGGACCAGGTCGTGGGGGTTAGGGTCCGGGGGAAGAGATGAGTTGGAATGCTTCCTAGAAGAGGTTTGAGCTGAGACCCAGAGAGGCACTGGTGGCTGGGCTGAGAAGAGCGATTCAGAGGTGGGTGTGGATCTCCGTGGGGCCTGGCTTAGGGTATTGGGAAGGGAGCATGGCCTCTGGTTGGGAGGGAGTTGATTAGCGTGCAGGGTTGGGTGGGCAGGCAGCTGGCTGGGAGTGGCTGGGCCTGCTCCAATTGCTCTGAGCCCTTCTGCATCCTCCTTTTTCTCATGCAGGTTCATCTATGAACTCGAGCGCTTCAATGGCGTGGCTGAGCTGCTGGAGATCTTAGGAAGGTGACTCCCTGGGTCTCAGCCAGAGCATCAGTTTGGGGAGGAAGGATTGAGGCCGGTCACCTGAGCCCTCCTCCTCTCTCTGTCCCCCTCCTCAGCATCATCAATGGCTTTGCGCTGCCCCTGAAGACTGAGCACAAGCAGTTCCTGGTTCGGGTCCTGATTCCCCTGCATTCCGTGAAGTCGCTGTCGGTCTTTCACGCCCAGGTAAGGCCCAGAGCTGGCCCTGCACGGCAGAGAGCGGACAGAGTCAGGGCAGCGTGTGGGTCATCCTGCCACTCTGGCTTCAGCCACACTGTCACCTTCTTTTCCTTTACTGGTTCTGTTCCTTCTCCCTTAGAGAAGCCCCATGACCCTTTAGGAGTCTCAGACATCAGCTCTGTGAAGCCCTCCCAGCCCCTTTCTCTCCGCCTGCCCTAGGCAGGATTAAACTCTCCTGTATTCGCATAGATTGTGATACAGCTTTCTATCATGGAAACGTCTGTAAAATGTATAAGGACTGGTTTGCTGAATGTTACCCCTGTGAGAGCATCATTGTGTCCCCGCACACTGAGCATGATGCCTGGTACATCCTAGGTAAATGCTTGGTGAATGAGAGTAGACTCGGTAAGTGACCTGGGTCCTGCCCTCGTCCCCTCCTGACCCATCCTCTCTCTCCGCCCCACAGCTGGCATACTGCGTGGTGCAGTTCCTGGAAAAGGATGCCACCTTGACAGAGCATGTGAGTACCTCTGGGGGAGAAGGCAGGTCTCCGTCCCTGCAGGTCTGACTCCTTTCTGCCCCAACTCCCACAGGTGATCCGGGGACTGCTCAAATACTGGCCAAAAACCTGCACCCAGAAGGAGGTAGGAAAAGGGCTTTGACGACCACCAGAGGGAGGTTAGGAAAGCTCAGCTTCCGGAGGGCAGTCAGGTGTGTCTCAGGGGAGATGGAACTGCTGCCCTGTGTCCCTACCCCCCAGGTGATGTTTCTGGGGGAGATGGAAGAGATTCTTGATGTCATCGAGCCCTCCCAGTTTGTGAAGATCCAGGAACCCCTCTTCAAGCAGGTGGCTCGCTGTGTGTCCAGCCCCCATTTCCAGGTACGGGGTGGGAATGGGGGATGGACTAGGAAGGTTGACGAGTTGCCCTAACAGCTCCCTCGGCCCTCTGGACTGTCCTGGGTCTGATGATGGGGAGATGCTGGACTTGGGGTCGAGCCCTTGGGTCAAGCCTCAGATCTGCCTCCCGCTGGGCGAGGGGCCTTGGGCGGGTCACGCGCCGGGCGTGATTAAGCGCCTCGCCTGTAATGTGGCCGCTGGGGACTCTAGAGAGAGCGGGGCAAACATATTTGGAAACTGAAATGCGCTCCACATGGGTTATCCCTTCTCTCCTTTTCTTTTTTTTTTAAAAATATTTTTTTATTGACTTCAGAGGAGGGAGAGGGAAAGATCGAAATACCAATGATGAGAGAACCATTGATTGGCTGCCTTCTGCGTACCTCCCACTGGGGACCGAGCCCACAACCTGGGCCTGTGCCCCTGACCAGAATCGAACCCAGGACACTTCAGTCTGCAGGCTGACACTCTATCCACTGAGCCACACCAGCTAGGGCAGCGGTCGGCAAACTCATTAGTCAGCAGAGCCAAATATCAACAGTACGACGATTGAAATTTCTTTTGAGAGCCAAATTTTTTAAACTTAAACTATATAGGTAGGTACATTGTTATTAACTTAATTAGGGTACTCCCAAGGCTTAGGAAGAGCCACACTCAAGGGGCCAAAGAGCCGCATGTGGCTCTCGAGCCGCAGTTTGCCAACCACGGAGCTAGGGCATCTCTCCTTTTCTTAGTGGCCTTCAATTTAATCAGTCCCACTTCAGGGCCCAGCTGGGACCCCTCCCGCTCCCCATCGTGAGGCTGGCTGTAACTAGTGTTCTACATGTGTGACAGACTTGCTCCCATTCTTATGAGCCGTAACCTGGTGGAAGTCAGTTCTTCCTCACAGTGATTCTGGCACCTCATTCAACAGCCCTGGGGAGATAGCTATTATTTATTAGCCCCATTTTACAGATGAGAAAACTGAAGCTGCGAGGTTAATGCCTTGCCCAGGTCACGTGGCCAATGTGCAGTGGAGCTGGGATTCAACCCTGAGTGTTGGACTCCAAATCCAGTTTCTTTCCTCCTTGGCACATGGCTTCCTCCAGTGGGATAGATGAGTCCTGAGGATGGGGGGTGAGGGCAGGGCGCCCTGGGTTTTGGGGTGGATACCAGCCCTTGCACACGCAGGGAAGCCTCTGCCAGGCACCCTCTGCCACCTCCCTGCCCCAGGTTGCAGAGCGGGCTCTGTATTTCTGGAACAACGAGTATATCCTGAGCCTCATTGAGGACAACTGCCACACGGTGCTGCCTGCTGTGTTTGGGACCCTCTACCAGGTCTCCAAAGAGCACTGGAATCAGTGAGTGCCCAGGCCCAGGCCCAGGCCAGCCAGTCCAGGCCCGGGGTTACTCCTAGCTAGAGAGAATGAGGGAAGGGTCTCAAGAGGGCTGAGGGGTGGCAAAGGGGCAGGCGGAGGGCAGCGGGCAGCGCCTGTGGGGTTTAGGCTGCACGCTGTGTTTGGGGAACAGGGTTAGGCAGAGCGCTGTGGAGGGAGGTGGGGCCAAACTGAAGTTGCTCTGATCTCACCCTCTCCCTTAACCTGCCAAGAACCATCGTATCTCTGATCTACAATGTGCTCAAGACCTTCATGGAGATGAATGGGAAGCTGTTTGATGAGCTCACAGCCTCCTACAAGCTGGAAAAACAGCAGTGAGTGTTGGGGGGCTGGGCATGGAGGAAGGGGGGAAAGCAGGAAGGAACCAGCTCCTCACGGTTGGAGGGAGCCTAAGAGGATGACCCCACGTCCGATCTATTCAGATATTTAAAGTCTCTCCCTGTGTTCCTGGCAAGTGCTGCCCCTCCCCTCTACCCTGTCGTCATCCTCCCAAGGGCTTCCCCAGGTGCGGAGCTTGGACGCCCTGGAGTTTCCTCCTCTCCAGCTGGGTCTCCCGAGCCAGGCCAAGCCACCTGCTCGTGACCAGCCTCCTCAGTGGTCTCTTCCCGGAGTGGAAGGCTCCCCTAGATCCTTCGCAGACGAGGTGGTGGTGAGGGAAGCTGGGCTGCAGGCAGGGCCTCAGGTGGGGGAGCTGCCTAACCCTCTCTCCCCAGGGAGCAGCAGAAGGCCCAGGAGCGGCAGGAGCTGTGGCAAGGCCTGGAGGAGCTACGGCTACGCCGGTTACAGGGGACCCAGGGGACAAAAGAGGCCCCCCTCCAGCGCCTTACACCCCAGGTGGCCGCCAGTGGGGGTCAGAGCTAGAGATCCCGTAGAAAGGGAGGAACTAAACCCAGAGCTATCAGTCCCTCTATGCCCTCTCCTGCCCAGGGGCCCAGAGAGACACACACCTCCCCCTGGCCTTGCGGAGTGGGTTGGAGGGCTCCCTGCCTGGCCCAGCGTGGACCCTTTACTGTGGGGAGGAGAGAGGAGATGGTGGTCCTGGCAACAGAACTCTCAGGCCCTTGTGGCAGGACTTGACCAGGGCAAGCTTGACCAGGAAGCTGCCATCAGGGATCTCCCTGCCCCAAAAAGCTGGGCTCCAGACTGCAGGCAGGTTCCCACACCCTGCTCCCAGCCTAGGGCAAGAGGACTCAGCTCCTCGTGTACCCCACCTCGTGCCAGCGCGAGGTCTTCCTGCACCCCACCATGGATCCATGGTCTATTTATTCTCCCCTGCTCACCCCCAACAGATGCTGACCTGGGCCTGGGCATCCTCCTCCCCTCCCCTACCTCCCTCTGTACTTTCTTGTCCCCTTTTTATTTATTGGGCAGGGGGAGGGGTGAGGGCACAGGCAGAAGAGATTCCCCATGTCCTGGGGCAAGGTGGGGTCACAGTTACCATGGTCTGTCCCCCTTCCCCTGGCTGGGGGTAGACTTAATAAAGACAGAAACTCAAGGACTGCCTGCTTTATTAAGGGATGGGGCCAAAGAGGGAAGTGAAATGATGAAACACTGGCCAGGAGGCGGCAGAGGCAGGGAAGAGGCAGAGATTTCGGGGGTTGAAGCTGCTGTCCTCAGTGATGCTCAGGATACCCGGGATGTACTCCACCTCGCCCCTCTGACCAAGGGGAGGGAGGTGGGACAGGGTGGGCTAGTAGCGTGAGAGGCGACACATGTCACACTGGCAGGCTCTGGCCGTGAAGATCTCCAGCTCCTCCCTCCGGCCCCCCCCACACTGCAGCTGCACCTTCACCTGTGGGAGAGGGGATTCGGTTCCAGTCCCCTTCTTTGAGCCATTTTAGACCCCTGTCTCCTCTGTCTCTCCCAATGGGCCCCCTCACCTTCCTCAGGCCAATGATGGTGCAGCATTGAGAGATGGAGGTGACGTTGTGTCGGTAGCCACTGGCCACCAGCACCGAGTACCGGGAAGGGAAGGCGCTGGACTCGCAGTGGCCCACGCAAGCCTGTGCCACATGGGAGCCCTGGCAGGTGCCTTGGCGGTCGCTGCGCACCGTCACATTGAAGGCTAGGAGGAGACAGGCGAGTTGTCGACGGTGCCTCTGCGAAGGCTCACCCAGCTCCCACTGCCTGTTTCCTCTGTGGGTCCATCGAGGGTGCTGCCTGCCCCTCTGTCCAGCCCATCGGCTCTGCTCCCACCCAGCCCTCTGCTCCCGGGGTGACTCACGGTGCAGGTGGCAGCCTGGGATGGCCGCCTGCTGACCCCAGCCTTCAGTGATCACCAGGAACAGCAGGCAGAAGAGCAGGGTTTGGGGGGACGCCATGGGCATCTGAAACAGTGGGTGGACATTCTCTAGATCGTGTGCAGGGGGAGGGGAAGTTCTTTAAATGCAGGATGCTTCCAGGTGAATGAGCCAGGGCTCCGTTAGCCTATCTGACTGGGGTGCGGCCAGCCTGTGGGGCTGACTTCCCTGTCCCTGCCTCCGGTGAGTCTGCCTGTGCGTCTCTCTGGATGGGTATCAGTGTGAGCAGCAGTCTCTGGATGTGATCTGTCAGCCTGCTGTGGTGGTTCCCCCTGCCTTTCTCCCACCATCTGGAGCACGAACATCTGCCTCCCGCCATCTGCCCCATCTTGGCCTCTAGGACCCCATCTGCAGTCCCCAGGTCCCTCAGGCTCCTGCCTCAGGGGCTTACCACTTCCAAGGCCCAGGAACTGAGTGGCTTGCCGAGTGGCTCCTTGAGCAGCCTGCTGCTGGTCTTCAAACTTGCTGGTTCTCCGGATTTTTATTTGCCAGCATTAGGGAGCCACGCCTTCTTGGAGATCGGCTTTCAGGCCTGCCGCCCAGCCTCAGGCCTCAGCCCTCAGCGAGCCCACCTGGGAGATCCAGCTCTTGTCTGAGGTGTGGTTGGGGGGAGTGGCATCTGCTGCTTTCTGCCCAAAAGCTGCCGGAGGTCCAGGGCTGGGGAAGTGAGGTGTGGCGAGAAGCCCAGGAGCTAGCTGGTGGAGTGGGCGGCTGTGTGCAGTTGGAGAGAGGGCCCAAGACGGGGCTGAGTTGTTGCCACCTGGGTTCTCTTTGCTGTGTGGCCTTGGGCAGAACACTCATATTGAGGGCCTCACCACCCCAACCTTAAAACTACTAATGCCTGGCCAGCATGGCGCAATGGTTGAGTGGCGACCTATGAACCAAGAGGTCACTGGTTCAATTCCTGGTTAGGGCACATGCCCGGGTTGTGGACTGGATCCCCAGTAGGGGGTGTACAAGAGACAACCGATCGATGATGTTTCTCAATGAAGTTTCTATTTCTCTATTCCTCTCCCTAAATATAAAAACATATTTTTAAAAAACCCTACTACTAGCCAGTTTGGCTCAAGGTTCCGGGTTTGATTCGGGTCAAGGGCACATGCCTGGGTTGTGGGCTCAATCCCTAGTAGGGGGAGCGCAGGACACAGCCGATCAATGATTCTCTCTCATCATTGATGTTTCTATCTCTCTCCTTCTCCCTTCCTCTCTGAAATCAATAAAAATCTATTAAAAAAAAAATAACCCTACTAAACTCAGCCCTGCCTGTCTCCTTAATCCACCACAGAGGAGAGTCTGGGAGATTCTTAAGGACAGGGGAGATGACAGCATGTTTCCAAGGGCTGTGGCTGGTTGTAGCCATGGGTTCACCAGCTGCATGGGAGAGCAACCTGGAGACACTGACTGCTTAGGTCAAAGTCAAAACTTAAGGCAGCTGCCACTCGCCTTTGCTGTAATATCTTCAAAAAAAGAAATTACACCAGGGGCAGTCTGCTGAGATGTGCTTGGAGGCAGAGCCGGGGGAGAGGGAGTTCTAGGTCAATGTCAGAGTTTCGCTTCCACTGTCAGGTGACAGGCTTCTCACCTGGGGGTCAGCTCCAGAGTGGGCTTCTCCTGGTCACTGGGCCAAGAGATCTGGCGCCAGGAAGAGCCCTGAAGCTGCTGACCCCAGCAAATCCCATCATTCAGTCCAGCTCTGGCTCTGGTTTTACAGGTGAGGCAACTAAAGATCAGAGGAGTGTTACTGAAGGTCACAGAGCTGTTCTTATCAGGGCTGACTGGGAACCCAAATCTGCTGTCCACGCATGGTGCTAAATTACACTCAGGACAAGAATGTGGCAAGTTGGAAAAAGACCCCCTGGCCACCAGTAGCTGCAGGGGCTTGAGTGGGGTGGAAATCAGGTGATTGGCCCCCCACCCTAGGGCCACTGCCTCAGGGTCCTGCTGAGAAAGCAGAGCCAGCTGCAGGGACCACCAGAGCTGGAAGGCACTTGAGCGCTCATCAAATCCTACCCCTTCATTTTTCAGATGAGAAAATAAGAACCAGAGAGAAAGCGACTCTGCCAAGGCTTCACTGTAAGCTAGTCAGTCGGACGCACTCAGGTCTCCAGATTCCGGATTGTGCCTCTCGGCAGCTTTGTGAAGCAGGCTGAGCTTGGGACGATAGGGCAAAGGCTGTAAATGCAACTTGTCCCTAGTCCTCCAGTCCCGACACCCGCTGGCTTCCCCTTCAGGTCCCAGGCCCTTTCGCAGCAGCCCACCTCTTCTCTTCTCCCCACCCCAGCTGAAGGCAGCAAAACAAGGAGTCTCCACGGGATCCAAGCAGTCCAGCCCCAAGGTTCCCACTCATCCTGGGAACCTCCCAGCACCTGACAGATAAAACAGCCGTTTAAAGACTAGAGGTGACAAGGGCTCATTACTTCCCAAGGCGGTCCATTGTAATACTAAACATCACTAACAGTTAAAAAATTATTCCTTTGTCCTCAGCTAAAATGAGTTTCCCTAAATTCCCACAATTACTTTGATCCTCTCTGGCCATACAACAGGAATCTAATCTGTCTGTCCCGACAGTGAGTCTGGCAAGACCCTAACCGCTGGCAGGGGACTTAAAGTTTGCAGTGAGGTACAGACCGCACCCACCCAAAGCATCCTGTCAACAAGAACCAGGCAGACCCGGGGAGGTTTCAGGAATTGCTTCTCTGTATCTTGAGGAAAGAGTTTGCTCTCTCACACTCCACTTCACTCAACTCAGTCAATAACTGTTCATAAATAATTTACTGCCATAAGGATCCTAAGTGCTGGAGATGAAAGATCTAAACTCAACCTCAGAGCAGTACAATTCTCAGACTAGAGCATTTTAGAAAGTTCTATGCTTTTCTTAGTTTTAAATTGAAAAAACTTTTATTGGAAAGAGGCGAAACAGGACAAGCCAGCAAGAGGACTCAGGGAGTTTGGGGCTCTCATTCCCCATGACTTGAGTGTCACAAGCAGAGGACACTTCCCACGGTTGCACTGGAAGGCTCACTGGCTGCTCTTTCTGAAGAAATACCGGAACGGGAAGAGAGAGCTGCAAGGAAGAAAGCAGAACAGCTTGAGACTCCAGCGGTCCCTTCTCTTCTCCGAGGTCGCATCAGGGCTCCCTTAGCGAGGGCATTTTTGCTCTGGGGAACCACAGAGTGAAAATTCAAGTCTGGAACAGCATTTGAAAAGGTACCCAAATTAGATTATACTTAGGCAGGGGAAATAAAGAATTGCAGTGGGATGGCTGAGCTCTAGCTAGACAAAGGGATTTGCTAACTCTCTGAAGACTCTGAAGACACAGCCTAGACTCAGAGGGGAGAATGGAAGCGTTTTGGTAACCAAATCATCTAAAAGAGCCAAGTACAACGAGAAGCAGGATTTATGGAACCAGGCCCAATGCAGGCACATCGGGTGGGGTGTGTAAACATGAACAGGACGCCGTTTGTATTAAATTCACAATTAGTGGCCTTGTGGTCAATCTCATTTTCATCATCTATCCTGGACAAACAGATTCTGCAGGTAATCTGCTGTATTTCCTACTCTATTTTCCCTGAGAGACCCAATGAGACAGACTCTGGAGCTACTTCACCCTGAGTCTCAGTTTGATGGCAGGAGAGAAGTCTGTCTTACCTCAAAAACCCAAAGAAGCCACTGGTCCCCAGGCCTGTGGGTCCTGCAGGTGGAGGCGGATTGCTTTGCTGCAATGGTGGGGTAATCTCCCCCGCTAGGCTGTCCTCCCACCTAGAACCTGCAAGGAAAACACTCAGGCAGGGAAAGTGTTAGTCCGGAAGCTACTTTCATATGAGCAGAAGGCAGGACACCCTCAGCATGAGCCAAGGGCAGCCTCACACCAGGATTTCTTAAAGCCAGATGCATTATTTGTTCTGACTTTCCCAAATTCATCCCAGCCCAGTAAGATGCTACTCTGACCTTGGAGTTATTTTCAAAGTCAGGCCTCTGAGATTTTTACACTATTTAAGTCGCAGCCACCTACCATGGCTGGTGTCTTCACATGGAATGACAACTTGCTGAAGAACTCACTTGCTTACATTCCTGTATCTGTGATAACTGCAGCCCATACCGAGTCCCCATGCTGGGCAGAAGACCAGCGAGTTAGAAGGGAAACACGTCAACATGCATCCCCAGCCTTGCTGAGCATCTGCTGCACCTTCAATATTAACACTAGCCCTAACCGGTTTGGGTCAGTGGATAGAGCGTCGGCCTGCGGACTCAAGGGTCCCAGGTTCGATCCCTTGGTTGAGGGCACATACCCAGTAGGGAGTGTGCAGGAGGCAACTGATCGATGTTTCTTTCTCATCGATGTTTCTAACTCTCTATCTCTCTCCCTTCCTCTGTAAAAAATCAATAAAATATATTTTAAAAAAATATTAACACTAATGCCCCGAAGGGAAGAGAAGTGACAGCTTCCCAGAGGTCATTCTCCAGTAAGACAAAAAAGTCATACATCCTTTCTAACTTCTTTGTAAAACTTATAGCCAAAACCGGTTTGGCTCAGTGGATAGAGCGTCGGCCTGCGGACTGAAAGGTCCCGGGTTCGATTCCGGTCAAGGGCATGTACCTGGGTTGCGGGCACATCCCCAGTGGGGGGTGTGCAGGAGGCGGCTGATAGATGTTTCTCTCTCATCGATGTTTCTAACTCTCTATCTCTCTCCCTTCCTCTCTGTAAAAAATCAATAAAATATATTAAAAAAAAATTGTAAAAAAAAAACCAAAAAAACTTATCACCCCGCATGGAAATGTGAAAGATTGGGAGCATCAGTTTCACTACCAAAAGCAGGGGAAGGACATGTATTGCCTCCCTTCACTTCTCTAGGGAGCTGGGTGAGGGGTGGCTTCTGTTACTCAAGGGCAAGCCCCTAGGACTGGAGGTGGCCAACAGGCACCTCCATGGAAGCAAGACACACCCCCACCGAGCGTGCCCAGACTGAGAGCTCTGAGCTGCTCTGCTCAGCAGAAAACTAAAGGGGACAGGACGAGTATTAAAGGAGAATAAATGCACTTCCCAGAACCTACCCTGTTCCTGGACATCAGTGCCATCAAATGCTGGAGTCTCCTGACATTTCTGCTGGGTGTTTCTTTCCATGTTCTGATAAAAAGAGGACCAAAAAAAGTTTTAAACTTTACTCTTATACAGCTTGGGGTCTGAATGCTATTTGTTGGTGAATTGATTTCACATCAGTGCTGGGGGCCTGGCTTCTGACTGCTCAGGCAGGTTCTATATTTCCTTCGGTATGATGTCCTTTCCCCATTTCAGCTTCCTAACTACTGTCCTTCTAAAATAACAATTTAAGAGCTGAAAATAAACCGAGCTGGGTTTAATTTATTATTCTGTATTACTGAGTGCCAACTATTAATAATGGCAGAATACCAAGGCTTCAGAAATCTGGAGGACCTTAACTTTCCTGTGGAGAAAAGTATAATCTATGTGGTAAACTGACACACAGACTAAGTCTTATAAGGCGGTGTGATAAGACTACCCCATGCGTCTACATGGAGTGCTGTGGTTGATGAGGAGGACATGAAGAGAGCAGGTGGCAGCTAGTCAAGGAAGACCTCACAGGGAAGTGCTACTTGAATGGAGCCTTGATGGATGAGTGGGATTTTGTCATAATGGGAGTAAATGGGGGTTAGGAGGTGGTCAGAGAGCAGGCCGTTCCAGAATGGATGTGATATACAAAGGCACAGTGCCACTGGTACTAGTAAATACGATCAGCATGGCTAGAGCTGGGCAGGGGAAACATACCACAGCATAAGCAATCAGCACACTACGGCACAATCTCATGATTTCTCTTTGTGCTTTCCCTTTATAGACCTTCCTTTTGATATCCTACAACCTAGTTCCAAACCCACATTTCCAGTAGACAACCTGAGCGCCAGAAACTTGGATCATGTTTTCTTTGGGAATCTCTACCAACTGACCACTCCCCTCACCAGGGGCAACAAAGGGAATGAATGGGTTTGCCCTTCCTTCCCATTTTCCCCCAACACCTTTTATGGAACTTGAGGGCCTGACTACCAAGCAGTGCTGGTGAAGAATTCTACAGCAAGAGCTCTATGCTATCCAAGTAGGTCTGGGAGGCAGAAGCATGGCAAGCGACTAGGGAAGTTAGGATATAGCCCCCATCCTAAGCATAAGCTGATATTTCTGATATGAGCTTTTCCACAAACCATCAAATTCCAGGCTACATAGACAGCCACTTAAGTCATCTATATATACAAAAGCCTAAGCGACCGTTAGGACCCAATGACCAGTTGACCAGCCGCTATGAGTTGCACTGACCACCAGGGGGCAGATGCTCAATGCAGGAGCTGCCCCCCTGGTGGTCAGTGCACTCCCACAGCCAACCTCCTGTGCCCCCTGCCACCAGCCACCATTGGCCTCTATTGCTGGCCAGGCCAAGAGACCCCACCCGTGCATGAATTCGTGCACTGGGCCTCTAGTATTCCTATAAAAATGAAAGGAAAGTCTGGGAAGGAAAAAGACATCTCTTACCTCTTCTAGACAGGATTGATATGGAATTCAGAGGGCCCAGCTCTGATTTCTAGCTTGAACGGATGATTCTTACAATTTTAATGAAACTGTGGTTTGGGGCTTCAATCCTGATGCACTGACCCTAATGAAAGCATCTAGTAAGGTTGGTAGTGGGAACCAGAAGGGCAAAGGCCCTAGGGAAGAGGTAAAGCCTACTTCTGAACCAGGGGAACTTCCCCTCACAAGATAATTGAGCTTTTCTGTTCTCTTGAAATCTTGAGAGAGGTCTTCTTTGGCAAATGCCAAGAGAGGGAAAAACATTATGGCCTGAAATAAGACTGAGGGTATCATCTGGGACATCCAATGGGACACAATACTCTGAAAACCAAACACAAGGTTGCTTCCGTATGTTCAGGGCCAGATCTGCTTAGAAGTGCAATTCAAGCAGAGATAGCGAAAACAAAACAAAACAACCAACACACATGGCAATGTGTTTTACCTCTGGACCATAATTCTGTTCTCCCCCATTTATTTTTTTTAATTAAAAATTTTTTTTACTCATTTCAAAAAAGGGAGAGGGAGATAGAAACATCAATGATGAGAGAGAATCATGGATCAGCTGCCTCCTGCACGCCCCACACTGGGAATCGAGCCCACAACCTGGGCATGTGCCCTGACCGGGAATTGAACCGTGACCTCCTGGTTCATAGGTCGACGCTCAACCACTGAGCCATACCGTCTGGGCTCTCCCCCATTTTTTATCCTTCCAATCTCTGGATCTCTAAGTCTTGGAACTGGGGTAACAAAAGGAATGAATGAGTCTTCCCTTCTCCCCAAAACACCTTTTATGGAACAGAGACCTTATTCAGATGTGTTGTATTCTTTTAAGCTTTCCCCACATAGGCTCTCAATGTGTTCAGACGTGTATAATCCACACTGCGATCTTACACCCTAACTTCCCCCAAAGGGGAGAGAAAATATTAAGCATTGGACCATAGGAGCAAATTCAATTTTTTACAGTTCAAGTGACTTACACTGAGAGTCACTGTGATCACTTTAATTTAGGAGAAATCCTCTCTCTGGGAACAGGGTCTACAATGGAGACTGTCTTTGGGCTTTGAGTCAAAGTCAATAAACATGTTCCTTTTGGGTTTCTTTCTTGCTCAGAGTTTTTTTCTAAACTCAGTATCAGGTTGAAACGGTAATTATGTTGAATAAGAAACTGTGAGTACTGTTCTTGAAGGAGATGATTTGTCAAACTAAGAATAGGAAGGTAGAAGGGAGACGGTGAAGGGAATGTTCCTTAAGCAGTAATTATCTTGGTTGTATAAAGCATCTTTGTTCGCCAAAGCTTCATGTACTCCTATTGTACTTCTTCAGTTCTTCTTCCCTCTCTAAAGGATGGGAGGAGAGAAGGGGGCAACCATCTACCTAAAATCACTGCAGGACCAGTTGGCCATGGCACAAGGAGGCCCTGTAGCTCACACCTGCCCACACAGGTAGAGGTCTGAGTCCCAAAGGGTACATTCTTCCTCCAACTATACGATAAACTAAAAGAAACCAAATTTTACATGTTTTGGTGCGCCCCCACATCTCACACAATGCCTTGCAAACAGGAGAGAGAGAATCATTTAGGAATGAAAATCATTTTACTTTTCTACTTAAAAATGCTTTAGGGAATTCCTGTCATCTTGAAGGCAGCCTTAAGGCCTTTCATGATCCAGCCAGTGCTGACTCTCCAGTAACACCTCCCAGCACCACACTTGCTCCAAGCTCCAGGGGCACTGGCTTGGAGTCACCAAATGCACTGTACTCTCTCCTCTTGGCCTTAATTCTTTGAGCTACTCTGAGCTACTATAGGAACCCTCCTTCACATCCACCTAATCTGGGTGAGGTTATCCTTTGTGGTGCCTTTATTCCTGCACATAGCATATCTATCAGTAATGGTCTGCCTAGCTTACACTGTTGGCATTTTTAGGTGAGATTGTGATATCCTTAGTACCTGGCACATAGTAGACTAACTAAAAGTTTGCTGAATGGATGCAAAAATGTTTGCTGATTAACTGATCATATCATGGAGTCCTGGGAAGGTAAGGGCGATGAGTTAAGAGTGTTTGGATATTTGAGGTCAGAGCTACTTTGGAGAGAGAGAAGAAAAAGCCATTAAATAACAGCTATTTTGAAAGAAAAGGAAAAGAAAAAGGGTACTATTTTAGAGACTACTACAGAAAAGCCCTGAAATGGAGGCATAGCAGAATTATGAATACCTAAGTGGGGAACAGACATCACAAATGAAATGAAATACTATTGGGGCCAACCCATCACTGCTCTATTTAAGTTTTCTCTTACTAGTGTCCTGTGCTTATGCCTAGCTTGTCTGTAAAAACTAGATGTTCCTAGACTCAGGCCCCAATGTAGAAGGCAAAAAGGTTTCTAAAAAGAAAATCCTTTATCGGATCCTACCTCAGTTCAACAGACCTCTTTTCTTATTTCAGCTGTAAGTATAAGAAGCAGCTTTTTAAGCTGAGAAGAGAAGGATTCACCGATGTGTACAGTGTTATGCAGCCACTTTTGAGACAGGCTGTGGCAAGGATAGAATGGTTGAATGTTGTTCCGCAGATGGTGAAACCTGAGAATGAGTTCGGTCAACTCAGTCTGTAGTAAGGACCGAGATGTGCTGGTAACAGAAATCCTGACTTGACTGTAACAGAGCAGGAACAGTCAAGAGCTTGGAAGCCTCCATGGTAGTGCTTACCCTGCTGGTTTCCATGAGGAACTTCTTTCTGCTGGGACCTTGGCTGGAAGTCCTCATCGTGGCCCTGAGGTGGGAAAAAGCCCAGGAAATGTTATTGGCAGCAGCAACATCACCACATTCAAGCAAACGTGGCTCAAATGAATATTTCAGCAGGTTGGCTATTTTTATACCACTCTGGCCTGCAGAATAAATTGTGTGGCCAACTTCTCTTTGGGTGCTGCTTTAACTCACAGTAGAATCCCAATTTGAGACATGTAGGGATCTATGGTTGAGAAAAGGTAAATGGACTGACAGCAGGTATCAGACTTTAAAATACCTGATCGTGCATCAAAACCCAGAGAAAGGGAAGATATGAAGCTTCAGTTCCACAGAAAATTCAGTCAAATGGAGAGACACAAAGCTTTACACCTCCAAGTACCCTCACATTCCACCTGGCTGGGAAAGGAGTTTCCCACTCTTCGCCGCCGTGTGCACCAGGAGGGTGGAGAAGTCAGCTCCCTCGTGGTCTACCTTCACTGCTCCTGTATGTCTTGGGGCCCCCACCGTCCCAGGAAAAAAGCTGCTGCTCTCTGTGAACCTGGGTTGAAAGCACTTTGTGCTGCGGAGCAAACCACACCTAAGATTATTCCAGCAGCTTTCTCTGGGTGCTAATAAGAATGACTGAATTGTTTTACTGACTCATTTTGTCCCTGACAGAGAATCTAAAAAAGAAAATAAGTAGCCTCCTCAATAGCAACTTCAACATGTTAGCAATGTGCTCAATATTCCACCTAATATCACATATCGCAGCACCTCACCCAACAACTGGTACCCTCTTATAGACATTTATATTTTAAACTGGACTATCTTTTATTTTTATAGAAATTTTCTGAAAATCTGTTTTTTTAAAATGTATTTTTATTTATTTCAGAGAGGGAGTGGAACAGAAACATCAATGATGAGAATCACTGATCGGTTGTCCCCCTCATGCCCCCTACTGGCGACTGAGCCCACTACCTGGGCATGTGCCTTGACCAGGAATCAAACTGTGACCTCCTAGTTCATAGGTTGACACTCAACCACTGAGCCACACTGGCCAGGCTAGACTGGACTATCCTTTTTTTTTTTTTTAAATGTATTTTTATTGATTTCAGAGAGGGAGGAGAGAGAAACATCAATGATGCGAGAAATTCATTGATCGGCTGCCTCCTGCGCCCCCACACTAGGAATTGAACCTGCAACCCAGGCATGTGCCCTTGACTGGAATTGAACCCAGGACCCTTCAGTCTGTAGGCCAACGTGCTATCCACTGAGCCAAACCAGCTAGGGCTGGACTATCTTTTAAGGTAGATTTCTAAAAGCTTACTGCTCACTAGGTAAAATAGAATTACATTTTATTTGTTCTATGTTCTTGTATAATATCCTGGGACTTTTTAAGTCTTGTGCCTTCTTACTGTGTTTTCTGGTAGTAAGTTCTCATTGAATATATATTGGACACAACTGTATAGATCTGATTGCATTTCTTCTCAGCCTTGGTCTTAATGAACAGAAGAATCCTACTTTGCTGAGGAAGGGGTTGTGTTCAAATTACACTGCAAATATTAACTTGCTTCCTTTCCTTAGTCCAGAGGTTGCCAACCTTTCGGACCTCACGGACCACCGGTTGGCATCCGCTGCCTTAGTCCACCCACTAGAACAGGCAGATACCAATGAAGCCCTGAGAGAGAAAGTGACTCGCATAAGGTCAAGAACAATCAACAGCAACAGCTGACCTAACCAGGATGCAGGATTTCAACTCTCTCCCATCACCACTGACCTGTCCAGCCCTGGTCTGCTGGGAGAGACAGACAATTCCATGCGCTTTCGTTTCTTCTTCATGACTCTTGCTGCCTTCCTCTCAGCAGGGACCTTCAGAGAGGAACCAGAGGCCTGTGATTCCTCCTACTTCAGAGTTGCTCACAGTTCATGAGGGCACAATGAACTCCCCATCTTTAAGTTGCCAAAGGCAACTTTGTCAACGTTGCAAGTAAAGGCAGACATTCTGTTAGGGACAATCTTAGAAAGTTAGCCACGGGGGAAAAGATGACCTCACGTATCCAATTCTGACTGGACCTGGGCAGCAACAAGGGAAAACAGGAAGAGACCAGAGCAGGATTTTTTTTTTTCCCCAAGAACCAATTCAAAAAATATATTTTTATTGATTTCAGAGAACAAGGGAAAGGGAGAGAGAGAAAGAAACATCAATGATGAGAACATCATTGATCGGCTGCCTCCTGCATGTCCCCCATTGGGGACGAAGCCCACTACCAGGCATGTGACCAGGAATGGAACCATGATCTCTGGTTCATAGGTTGATGCTCAACCACTGAGCCACACCGGCTGGACTAGAGCAGGATTTTTTTGCATTTTCAACAACATGAAACAATAAGGCAATTTTCACTTTCTATACAAGAGGCAAACTTACCAATCCAAGGGGACTGTCATCTATTCGTTTCCCTGTAACAGGAAATTTAAATGTTATAATGGGTCAAGACACTGATCCACCTGGATTTCTGGCTACCATTTGCTTCTCAGCACTGGTCCTAGCCTAGACCAACCCTCCGTGTATTCTCTTTCCCCTTCTGCCTGGTACCACCTATCCTAGAAATACAGTCTTCAAAAATCTCTTCCTCCTCTATTTTAGAACTATTATAATTTATAAGCTGAAAATTCAGAGTTTGATTCACACTATATTTAACAATATGCCACTTAAAAAGGGGCCCCAACTTTGAAACAAAAGGTGGAACTTCAGGCACCAGTGACAAATTAATTGGGGAGATATTTTGAGGCAAGGCCTTTGTATGCTTTTCCAAATCAAACTTGCAGGTGTCTACTTGTCCCATTATAAGTAAAAATAGTAATGACTCAGATTAAAAAGTAGGAGATACTACTTTAAGATACTACTAAGTTGAAAGTTACTGAAACCTCTAAAATGGAATAAAGTATTCATATAATAGGTTCCTTCACTGAGTGATTACTGTCAGACTGTGTACTTACTTCCAACCTCCAATATTTATATATTTTATGGTTTTAACAACTCAATGAGATAGGTACTGTTATTATTATTCACCATTTCATAAAGATTAAGAAATTTATCTAAAAATTAATTTTAAAAAACATATCCTTGGGTGAGGATTTATTTTTTAAAAAAGGAAATTTGTCGAAGGTCACTCAGATTAAGTGGCAAGGCCACCAGGATTTGAACCAGGCAGTCTGGGTTGGGGCACATGCTCCTGACTTCCACACTGGGTGGTATGCATTGGGGCCCAACCTGACTGACCATTTTGCCATATTCAGCTTACACTACTAACCATGCACGCTCAACTTTCCCCTTTTTCTTCTCCACCACCCACACTGCCATCAGTCTACTTACCAGTTGACAGGTTTTCATTAAACCATTTCAGCTCTACGTACAGTGTCAAAACAAATGGATAGGGGATCAACACGATTTCGCCGTGTTTGAATTTCAAGTGGGACACTCTCTCCCATTTGCTTTTATCTGGGAAAATGGTGCTAAGGAATGAGGAAAGTCAATACGAATCCCTGAGTACTATTTTAGGGATGACTTTTTCTCCTTTCCGTGACCTACCTTCTAAACTGTCTATGGGTTTATTGCTTCAATTTGAATCTACAATGTGAACTGTAGCTCATTCCCATCCAGAAATGAAAGGATACAGGGAAATACAACAAAGTGTTGCGTAGCAAATGGCTGCAGACTGTCCAAATTTCCTAGGACCACACGAATAGAATCCTGAAAAATGATAAGCTTTTAATTAATTTAATACTCAAAAACTCTGAGATAGACACTTCTATTATCCCCATTTTATAGATGAGGAAACAGACAAAAAGAAGTAAAATGACTTTCTGAATAACAAGGTTACATAAAATGGTGAAGCCAAGATATGAATCCAGGCAGTGGGGTTCCAGAGCTTACACTATTAACAATTAGGCTATACTGCCTATCAATAAATATTTCTTAAATGAATGAAAGAGAATGATAACATCTGCCTCAAAACAAGTGAGAGCAAAAGAGAACATACAAAAAGTACTTTGAAAACTCTAATCCTATATAATAAAAGGGTACTATGCAAATAAACTGAACAGAAGAACTGAACAACCAATCAAAGCGTAATATGCTAATGATATGCTAAGGCTGCTCAACCGCTCGCTATGATGTGCGCTGACCACCAGGGGGTAGATGCTCCAACCAGTAGGTTAGCTTGCTGCTGGGGTCCAGCTGATCAGGACTGAGCGAGATGGGCCAGACACATCCTGGAGCCCTCCCGCAGTCCCTCCCTGGCCCAGTCGTGCACTGGTGGGTCCCTCAGCCTGGCCTGTGCCCTCTTGCAATCTGGGACCCCTCGGGGGATGTCGGAGAGCCAGTTTCAGACCGATCCCACAGGCCACTCCCTTTGGGAGGGTGCCAGATGCAGGGCTCATGGCTGGCAAGTGCTGCTGTGGCAGCGCGAGCCTCTCCCGATCAGGATTGCTTGGGTGCAAGCCCAGGGCAGGCACAGTGGAGTCAGGATGAGCGGGAGCAGCAGGTAGGAGCTGCAGGCGGCATTGGACTGCTGGTTTCAGCCTGATCCCTGCAGGCTACCCAGAGGGACCCCACCTGTGCACAAATTCATGCACTGGGCCTCTAGTATGATTACAAATAGACATAAATGCTCTCTAGCTACCATTTATTGAGCTACTATGTGACAGGCATTGCACATATCTATTTCTAATCCTTGCCACAATCTTGAAAATAAGCATTATTTATCAACCTCACTGACAGGTAAGGAAACAGATTCAGAGAAGGTAGGTCACTTGCCCAAAATCAGGCTGTGAGGCAAAACTGGAATTCAAATCCAGGTTTGACTGGCTCTAAAGTCTATGCTCTCTCCACTTTACTATGCTTCCTTGAGCTCTTCTCTGCCCTGTTAACTGAAGCAAAGTGAAATAAATTCTGCTCTACTCACAATTAAAATAAGCAAAAAACTGCCATCGTTCTATATTGCTATTTATAACAATGTCTCTGAGGTTCTGCAAGATCCTAATGTAACTTCCAACACTTAGCCAAAGAGCCACAAGTATCTTTAAGGCTATGACTCAAATTTTTTGTTTCATTGAGTATTGTGTTTGTGTATTTATATTTGAATTCTTTGAAATGTGGCACATATGTCTTCATAAACCACAATAGCCATAAATCACTGAGTTGGGAAGTTAGAAGAAAATAAATTACTTTAAAATTCTTAGTTTATCAATGAGGCAATCAAGACAGAGAGATAAATGATTTGCTGAGGATCACACAGCTAATTAGTGGCTCAGCCAGGACTGGAATCCAGAACCAGTTCCCAGAACTCTAACCTCTTGCCCAGTGCTTTTACCAATTTATAACAATGTCCACCTGCTTAGTCTTCCTGTGGGAAAACCTAAAGCTAAAGGAGCTTTAGGAAAAGGAATGAAAATGAAGTGGGAATAAAGCAATGGAAAATGTTTCCAGTTAAAATGAAGACACAGCAGCCTTGTCTCTGTATTTACAATTGAACTTCCTGGACGTCAAGTACCAGGCAGTGGTTGGGATGGTGAGGTTTCCCAGAGCCCTGGAAGGCGGCGGTCCTTCCATTTCTCCGGAAGCTTTCTCTATGCCAGCTGCCACAAAAGAGAGCTGCCCATGGCTGGGAGCTCTGGTTGAAACAAAACTCTCAGCCTCAAAAGTGCTGACACTTCAACTAGGAAAACTGAGAAAGGATACAGGCTTTAATACCCAGGAAAAAACAGTAAAATTTCTTTGCAGAGGAAATGTGGCAGGGAGAAGCCAAGTAATCAAGTGGAGGTTGTGACTCAGTTGGTGAGAAATAATTAAAATTTGGACATGGACACATTGTCGGCTTAAAGAACTTTCCCAGAAGTTGTCAGCCTCTTTCCCTACCTCCAGCTCCTGGACGATGACTTCCTTATTTTCTACATCTTCCCCTCTAGAAAGTAAGAAAACAAGAGATAAGCCAGGGAAAGTTCTGGAGACAATAGACAGGAGAGCAAAAATGACACTTCTACTGAGCTAAAGAAACATGACTAAATAACAATTGTGTGTGCTGACCCAGTGCTCATGAGAGGAAGTGATCACCTAGGAGGTGTGGTCTGAGAATTAGTACAAGGCTATATACCAAAATATCTTCTCCACTAACTTGCCAAGACCTGAAATTCTCACTGTGAAAGTTACTAATCTGTTAGGCCATTTGTAGTCATGTGTAGGCAGATGACCCCCAGGGGTTCTCAAGACCCTTTCAAGGGGTCTCCAAAGGCAAACATCATTTTCATAATAATATTAAAATTTACATGCCTTTTTCACTGTGCTAACATTTGTAATCTTTAGTGCAAAAACAATGGTGAATAAAATTGCTGGTGTCTTAGCATAAATCAAGCCAGTTGCACTTAACCATACTAGCAGTTGTAATAATCATTATTGCCACACAGGAAGAAAAAAAAAATCTAGTTTAATTTAATATCCTTGAGAAAGCAATGAAAATGTAATAATCTGTTAAAATCTCAACCCTTGATCACATGTCTTTTTAATATTATGTGATAAAGAGGGAAGCACGCATAAAGCACTCTGCCTACAGAAATATCAGAGGTGTCTGAAGTAAAAGCACTTGTGCAATTAAGCTGAAAACTGAACTAGCTGCTCTTTTCATGGAACAGTATTTTATTCGAATGGTCAGTTGACACAGACTACGGCTGTTATTCAGACTTGGTAATATGAAATTTTCTCAAAAATGAACAGTGAGCTTATAAACTCAAGGATTTGTGGTCAAATGACAACTGATAATATTTGTTGTCAATGATAAATTTTAGGATTTGAAGCAAAAATTTGCACTTTGGAAAACTTCTGTCCACCACTCTGAGGTTGGCAGGTTCCAAGTACTTTAAACATTTTTCTGATGAGACTGGTAGTAATATTAAATATGACTTTTTAAAATATATTTTTATTGATTTTAGAGAGGAAGTGAGAAGGAGAGATAGAAACATCAATGATGAGAGAAATCATTGATTGGCTGCCTCATGCACACCCCACACTGGGGATAGAGTCCACAAGCTGGGCATGTGCCCTGACCAGGAATGGAACTGTGACCTCCTGTTCATAGGTCGATGCTCAACCACTGAGCCATGCCAGCTAGGCAAATATAATTTTGATATTATATAGGCACATCTCGTTTCACTATGCTTTGTTTTACTGTGCTTTATAGATGTTGCCTTTTTTGAAAATTCAAGGCAAAACTCTACCTGCAAAAATATCATGGCTCACTTTATTTTGCGGTGATCTGGACACAAATCGCAGTATCTCCGAGGTATGCCTGTATAATGAAATGTGTTGACGTTTGGATGATCTGCATAAGTCAGTGACCCTTTCCAAATGACCAATGAAACAATTATTTTACAAATCATTCTACGTAAAAGACTCATTCAAAGAACAAGAATGACCAATGAATTTTAATGTAACAGTTTAAAAAGTCCATTTATTTATTGCTTTTTATATGTGCCCTGACCCGGGATCAAATCCACAACCTTGGCATATCAGGACAACGCTCTAACCAACTGAGCTATCCTGTCCCACACTGGGGATCCAACCCGCAACCTGGGCATGTGCCATGACCGGAAATCAAATCATGACCTTCTGGTTCATAGGTCGATGCTCAACTACCAAGCCATGCCGGCTGGCCGCCAAGCTGGGCTATATGCTTAACTTTTTGAGGAACTGCCAAACTGTTTTCCAAAATGGCTACACCATTTTATTTCCACCAGCAATATATGAGGATTCCAATTTCTCCACATCCTTGGCAACAATTGTAATTTTCCTTTTTTAAAATTTTTAATTATAACCCTGGCTGATGTGGCTCACTTTGTTGAACACCACGCCATCCCATGTACTGAAAGGTAACCGCATTGATGTATCTCTCCTTCTCCCTTCTTCTCACTCTAAAATCAATAAAAACGTACTTTTTAAAAAATATTTTTTTTTAATTGATCTCGGAGATGAAGAGGGGAGAGATAGAAACATCAATGATGAGAATCATTGGATTGGCTGCCTCCTGCACGACCCCTACTGGGGATTGAGCCCACAACCCAGGAGTGTTCCCTTGACTGGAATAGAACCCAGAACCCTTCAGTCTGCAGGCCAAGGCTCTATCCACTGAGCCAAACCAGCCAGGGCAATAAAAAAATACTTTTAAAAAATTATAGCCATTCTAGTAAGTGTGAAGTGGTATTTAAGTCTGGTTTTAATTTGCATTTCCCTCGAGAGTAATAATAACAGAAATCTTTTCATGTGCTTATGGGTCACTTGTATATCTTCTTTGGAGAAATATCTATTCAAAGTTCTTTGCTCTCTTTTTAATTGGATTGTTCATCTATCTGTTGTGGGTGGTAGTTCTTTATATATTCTGGACACATGATTTTATTTATTCTTTAGATTTTAGAGAGGGAGGAAGTGAGAAAGAGAGAAACACGGATGTGAAAAAGATTCATCGATTAGTTGCCTCCTATGTGTCCCAACAGATCAAACCAGCAACCTAGCTATGTGCCCTGACCAGGAATTGAACCCGTGACCTTCCAGTGCATGGGGAGATGCTCCAACTGAGCCATACTGGCCAGGGCCTGGATATATAATTTGCAAATATTTTCTCCCATCTGTGGGTTGCCTTTTCACTCTGTTGATGTTCTTCGGTGCAACATTTTTTAAAATTTAGTAAGTCTCATTTACTTTGTTGCCTAGGTGTTGTATTTAATAAACCATTGTCAAATCTAAAATCATATTGATTTGCTCTTTTTTTTTCGTCTAAGCGTTGTATAGTTTTACCTCTTAAATTTAGGTCTTTGATCCATTTTTAGTTAACTTTTGCATATTGGATAAAATAAAGGTCTAAGTTCATTCTTCTGCATGTGGACATCAAGCCTTCTCAGACAATTTGTTAAAGAGACTATTCTTCCCCCTTTGAATGGTCCTGGCTTTCTATTAGAAAATAACTTGACCATTGATGTAAGGGTTTATTTCTTGGCTCTCAATTCTATTCTGTTGTCTGGATATCTGTTCCTATGTCAGTGCCACATTTTTTTTTATTATTATTACTTGTAGCTCTATAGTAAGTTTTTAAATTGGGAAGTGTGCCCTAGCTGGTTTGGCTCAGTGGATAGAGTCAGCCTGTGAACTGAAGGATCCTGGGTTCAATTCCAGGCAAGGGCACATGCCTGGGTTGTAGGCTCGATCTCCAGCAGGGGGCGTGCAGGAGGCAGCCAAACAATGATTCTCCCTCATCATTGATGTATCTAACTCTCTCTCCCTCTCCCTTCCTCTCTGAAATCAATAAAAAATATTTTTAAATAAATAAATTGGGAAGTGTGAGTCCTTCAACTTTACTATTTTTCAAGATTGTTTTGGCTATTTGAGGTCCGTTGAAATTCCACATGAATTTTAGAATGGGCTTTCCATTTCTTAAAAAAAAAAAAAGCCATTGAGACTGTGATAAGGATTTCACTGAATCTGTAGATTGCTTTGAGTACTGTTGTCATCTTAACTATATATTAAGTCTAATCCATGAACACAAAATTTTATTTATTTGGGTTTCCAATTTATTTCAGGTGTTGTTGTTTTTTTGTAGCTTTTAGTGTTCAAGTCTTACATCTCCTTGGTTAAGTTTATTGCTAATTATATTTTTCTTTCTGAATGCTATTGTAAATGGGATAATTTTCTTAATTTTCTTTTCAGATGGTCTGTTGCTAGTGTATACAAATAAAACTGATTTTTGCATGGTTTTGTATCCTGTAACTTTGCTGAATTCATTGATTAGCTGTAAGTCTTTTATGTGGATTCTTCAGGGTTTTCTACATATAAGATCATATTGTCTGCAAATGGAGATAGTTTCACTCCTTCCTTTCCAATTTGCATGCATTTTATATTTTTGACTAATTGCTCTAACTAGAACTTTAGTACTATATTGAATAAAAGTGGTGAAAGTGGGCATCCTTGACTTATTTCTGATCTTAAGGGAAAAGCTTTAAGTATGAAGAGTATTTGACTATGATGTTAGATGTGAGTTTTTCATACATGGCCTTTATCATGTTGAAGTTCACCTCTATCCCTAGTTTATTGTTTGTATCACGAAAAGGTGCTGAATTTGGTTAAATGCTTTTTCTGCATCAATTGAGATGATCATATGGTTTTCCCTCCTTCATTATATTAATGTGGGGTGTGTGTGTTTACATATATATATTTGAGAATATGTTTATTAAAGCTGGGGAGAGTGAAACAAGGAAGGAATTAGGATAGAAGAAGCAACAGGAAAGAGCTAGGCAGGGCTGCTTTGGCTCATTGGAAAGTTAGAGGACAGAAGAAACAACAGGAAAGAGCTAGGCAGGGCTGCTTTGGCTCATTGGAAAGTTAGAGGACAGAAGAAACAACAGGAGAGAGCTAGGCAGGGCTGCTTTGGCTCATTGGAAAGTTAGAGGACAGAAGAAACAACAGGAGAGAGCTAGGCAGGGCTACTTTGGCTCTCTAGAAATATAGACAAAAAATGAGCCTAGGCAGGGCTGCTTTGGCTCACTGGAAAGTCAGAGAAAAGGGGGCCTTGGAGACAGGTTCAAGGGGTTAGCCTGGGCTCTAGCCCATTTGGCTCATGGACCAAAGGGTCCTGGGTTTGATTTCGGTCAAGGGCAGATACCTGGGTTGCAGGCTCCTCCCCAGCCCGGGTACTGGTCAGGGCACGTGCAAGAGGCAACCAATCAATGTTTCTCTCATATTGATGTTTCTCTCTGTCTTTGCCTCTCTCTTCCACTCTCTCTAAAAATCAATGGAAAAATATCGAGTATTAAAAAAAGGGGGAGGGCGGTTAGCCCGGGATGAGCTGCCACTGTCTATTGCTTCCCTGGTTGCAAGTCTTGTGGGGACTCTTACAGAGTTTAGAAAATGCAAGCCTGAGAGGGAAGAAAGGCATGGGCATACTCTCGGGAGGGAGAGTAGCCTTATGTGGCATATTATAGTGATGGGTTTTTGTATGTTGAACCATCCTTGTATTCTGGAACAAATCCCAGGAATGTAAACAATGTCAACCTTCTCGTTAATTTTTTAAATATATTTTTATTGGTTTCAGAGAGGAAGGGAGAGGGAGAGACAGAAACATCAATGATGAGAGGGACTCATTGATTGGCTGCCTCCTGTACGTTGGACCGAGCCTGCAATCCAGGAGTGTGCCCTCAACTGGAGTCGAACCTAGGACCTTTCAGTCCGCAGGCCGACACACTATCCACTGAGCCAAACTGGTTAGGGCTCTCATTAATTTTTTAAAAGATACAGTTATTTTAGCCTGGCTGGTATGGCTCAGTGCTTGAACATCACTGTTCAATTCCTGATCTGGGCACATGCTGGGATTGCGGACTAAATCTCCAGTAGGGGGCGTGCAGGAGGCAGCCAATCAATGATTCCCTCTCATCAAGGATGTTTCTATCTCTCTCTCCCTCTCACTTCCTCTCTGAAATCAATTAAAAAAAATTTTTTTTACACAATTATTTTAAATAAAATGTTATTTGTTAACATTTAAGGATATAAGGCCCCACTTGGTTAGAGCATTGTCCCATATTCCAAGGTTGCAGGTTCAATCGCCGGTTAGGGCACACAGAGAAAGCAACCAATGAATGCAAAAATATGTAGAACAACAAATCAATGTTCCTCTTTCTCTCTCTCTCCTTCAATTCCTCTCTCTCTAAATCAATTTTTAAAAGTTAATGATATATATTTTCAAAGTAGTATGTATGTTATTTTAATTTTGTTTTAACTTTCATATAAGTTTTGACAGTTATAACCCACATAATCAAAAACTTTGAGATACTCAATAATTTTAAGAGTGCAAAGGGGTCCTGAGATAAAAATTTGAGAACCATTGCCCCAAAGGTATGCCATCACTAATTTAGGAATTTACATGAGTAGTAACATATGGAATATAAAATACCTGGGAAAGACCTACAACGTGCCTCTTCAGCCAGTCTCCTGGACTGGGTGAAGGCAAAGAAGGGATTATCTGTGAGAAAATGCACTAACTGGTTTACAAAGGCTACCCCCTCCTAGCTTTAAATTTACCTGATGCTGTCACCATATCTGATTTTGAATTTATATACACTGGATCCTGAATGAAGAAATCTTGTCTCTGGAAATGGGTAGGTGAAGGGTTTTAAACTCATTGCTTCCAAACAACAGCCTAAATAAAATAGAAATGTTAGAGAATTATTAAAAAGCTGAAGATGGGAAAGAGAGCCTGCTCAATCTGTAGCATTCTTTATGAGTAAAATGTTCAATACTTAGCACCACTGCCTATGTCCCAGACTCAGTTCTGATATTCATGACCTAGACCAGCAATCCCAACCATTGGTCTGCGGACCATTGGTGGTCCGTGAAGTCCAAAAGGTTGGCGACTGCTGGTTTAAGGAAACCTTTGGAGCAGCAGTCACCAACCGGTGGTCTGCGAGGTCCAAAAGGTTGCTGACCACTAACCTAGACCATTATCCTAGCTGCATGGGGAGGATACACGGTGTTTTGGGATGATCTCTATACTTGAAGTCAAAAGTCCTGAACGAGTTTTCACATTTACCTTACAACTTTGTGCACTTCTCTTCCATAAGACTAAAACTAACATCTGATGACTCACCAGGTTTTTGTTAGAATTAAGTACCTATCTCCAAATATTTCTTGAATCTATTCTCTGCCCTTGTCCTCACTTTCTCTAGGCCAATGTGAACAGAGCTCAAGCGAAATAATGAAACAATCTAAATGATATACCAGTAAGTGGCAAAATTAGGAAGACCTCTGCTATTAATTTTACATGCAGTTAAGAGAGGAGCACACCCCCCTGCCACAGCCAGTGCAGCAAATAAGGACGTACACCAACGTTTCCCAATGGTGCTGAGGAATGCCTCACCTTCCCTCCCTCTCACTCACTCTTCCTCTTCACTTGTGAGACTGCACTGTGCCACAAGTGTCTACTACCCTCCTAGCACTCACTTGTTTCAGTTTTCCTAGTCCAGAATCTCTGCCCACTTAAGATCCTCTACGGTGCCCTAACTGGTTTGGCTCAGTGAATAGAGCGTCGGCCTGTGAACGGAAGGGTCCCAGGTTTGATTCCAGTCAAGGGCATACACCTTGGTTGCGGGCACATCCTCAGTAGGGAGTGTGCAGGAGGCAGCTGAATTGATGTTTCTCTCTCATCCATGTTTCTAACTCTCTCTCTCCCTTTCTCTCTGTAAAAAAATCAATAAAATATATATATTTTTTAAAAAATCCTTTATGGGAAACTCAGGAAAGAGAAGAGATGGAAAAAGGATGGCATGTCTCTTCTCCTCCAAAAGGCAATTGGTTTGTGCTCAGAGCTGGGAATCAAGCACACTGTGATGTTCTAGAAAGTCACTACCATTTTTCTGAGCCTCCTTTTTCTTTATAGAGATAATAAACCCTGCACTTTTTGTCTCTTCATATAGAAGTTGAAATAATAAATAATGAGAGTAAGAGGTCCATTGTTGAAGTTTAAAGCTACCTTTATACAATGCAAGGTATTGATTTCAGAGGAAGCAGAGATAAGGTAGAGAGAACAGGCAAAAAGTAAGAACAATTTAGGTTTAAATCTCAGCTCCAATGTCAGTACTTAGCTTCTCTGGCCTTTGGTTTTCTTATCCTATCTAATAAAAGAGTAATATGCAAATTGACCATTGCTCCAACACACAAGATGGTTGCCCCCATGTGGACACAAGATGGTCGGCAGGGGAGGGCAGTTGGGAGGAACCAGGCCTGAAAGGGAGGGCAGTTAGGGGCAACCAGGCCTGCAGGGGAGGACAGCTAGGGGCGACCCAGCTGGCAAGGGAGGGAAATTAGGGGTGACCAGGCCAATAGGGGAGGGCAGTTAGGGGCAATCAGGCCGGCAGGGGAGCAGTTAGGCATCGATCAGCTGACAGGGGAGTGGTTCGGTACAATCAGGCAGGCAAGCGAGTGGTTGGGAGCCAGCAGTCCTGGATTGTGAGAGGGGTCCCAGATTGGAGAGGGTGCAGGCTGGGCTGAGGGACACATACCCCGTGCACGAAATTCGTGCATGGGGCCTCTAGTTTATACAATAATTACCAATTTTTTTTCATGCCTTCTTATCTCAGTCCTCATAATCAGCCTATGAGGTAAGTAGTCTAAATTTGACAGATGAGGAAACAGACACTGAGAGATGAAGTAACCTCCATAGCTTTGAATATTGGAAATAAAATTCAAACTGAGACAATATAAATCCAGACTTGATCTTAACCACTTTTCCACTCTGTTTCCTGGATTATTATAAAGAAAAAAAAATATAAAATCATTTTGTAAGTACTAAAATGTTATCCTCACATAAAGGACTATTTTCATTATTCTTTACTCTATATTACTGATACCATTTCTACTCAGCAGGGAAAACTCATATATGGTGGAGCCAGAAGACCTATGTGCCCAAAAAATGGAATTTCCCACAATTTCCAAAGTTCAAGCCTAGGGCTGCCAGTAAAGAGATATCCCAGTGTCTGATCTCAGCTGCTTGGGATTAGAATGACCGGAGGTTGGAGCCAGAGCCTAGTAGACTATTTAGACTAGAATTGCAGTCAAAAGTGAAGAGAAATAGTTGGTGCCAACTGCAAAGTTACCAAAGGGGAAATACTGTTCATGTCCTGAGAAAAATCTTGCTGATTCTCCATGCTCAAGGCATAGCAGGTACCCAGGCTAGATTTGATGGTGTTCTGGGTTATAGACGACTTTTCTAAGTAGGCAGAGAGTCCAACTAGTGAGACTTAGGTTGCTGTCACAAAAAATTAGATTTCAATTATTCAGAGGGTTCTAACATACAATCATCTATCCCTGCAGACTGAGGGCTGGGGCATGAGAGCAAAGGAAATGAAGGACATTTGCTGGAAATGACAATCCAGAAAAGAAACTTCATGTACTGCCCTCCTGAAAGAAGTGAAAACAGCCCTCTTCTAGCTGGGGCCTATTCCTATTAATTGTTGGCTGCCCACTTCAGAAACAAACACCATACATGAATTATCTCATCTGAAATAAAGATTACACAAAATAATCCAAAACAACCACATAGTGCCATAGCTGGTTTTGCTCAGTGGATAGAGCGCTGGCCTGAGGAATTAAGGGTCCTAGGTTTGATTCTGGTCAAGGGCACATGCCCGGGTTGTGGACTCAATCCCCAGTAGGGGGCGTGCAGGAGGCAGCCGATCAATGACTCTCATCATTGACATCTCTCTCTCTTCCTCGCCCTTCCTCTCTGAAATTTTTAAAAAATATTTTAAAAATTTTATTTTAAAAAAAACAACCACATAGTAGTAGTGGTTCAAAGATTTCACAAGGTTATTTTCCAACATGAAGACTGCAGTCACGAATGGCAACTCGGTGTCCCTGTAACTATTAAGCTGATGGAATCTTGTAGATGAAGGGACAGACTCTCAGCCCATTTTTAGGTGATCACAAAACATGAAGTTATAGGCAGTGTGGGATAGTGGGGAAGACACAAGATTTGGAATTGGAAGACCAAGGCCTGAGTCCTAGCTCTGCCTCTTATTAGTTATTAAACCCTGAACAACTCATTCAGCCTCTTCATTTCTCAGTTTCTACATCGACAGATGGGGATCCCACCTCTTCCTAGAATTGTTGTGAGCACTGAATGAGATAAACTCATAAACTCTAGAGTATTATATAAACATTAGCTGTTTTGATAGAACTGAAGTTTCTCCATTAATGCTTCACTAGAAAAGCAAATTCAAGAGAAGGAAACTGGTTAGCTTTCATCTCAGTGCAAGATCTGACAAATCCCAATAAAAGAAATCTTACCTTGGAAATACCCAATAATTAGTCTTAAATGACACATTGGCACTGATGTTAGATTTTTCAAGGTTTTAGTAATTTGTTTCATATAAAGAAAAATCTGGGTCAGTGCACAGAACCTAAAGCAGGACTGAATGCTATATGAGGGTAATTATATTGTCTATTGAGGCGGAAGGAGATGATAATAAGGAAGTACTATCACCAAATTTTTCTGGTGTTATTTGATGGGAAAATCTTGTTTCCTACCTAAAAAGAGCTTATAAATAATTTTAACTGTAATAACTACTATAAAAAAAGGATAGGGTGATATGGACAGGACATATTACAGAGCATCCTAACCTAGAATGGAAGTCAGGGAAGCCCACTCTAAGTTACTCCTATCTGAAGGATGAGTATGACTTAGGAGTGCACAAATGAAGATGCAAGAGTCCTCAGTAGGGAGCAGCATGGCATTTTCAAAAGAGACAAGTATAGTAACCTGAAACATAGGGGACAGTAAGGAAGTTCTATGAGATAAGATACCAAATGAGTCAATCACCACACACTTCAGAGCCTCAGGCTCTATTCTATATCAGGCACTGTTCTGAGCACTAATTTATTGGGTAAAAAGAGAAACATGAACCCATCTTTAAGGGCTCACACTTCAGGAGGTGTGGAGAGAAACAATCTATATATATAAAAGGCTAATACGTAAAGCATCCCCTTGAGAGTTTGACTGGGAGACTCAGTTTGATCACTCATTATGACACGTGTGCTGTCCACCAGGGGTGGCGCAGAACGAAGGAAGGCCCCAGCCGGCAGCCAGAAGGAATGCTCTGTCCGGCAGCTGGAAGGCCCTAATCAGCCCTGATCGCTGGCCACGCCTAGGGACCCTATCTGTGCATGAATTTCGTGCAGCAGGCCTCTAGTGAACATATCTATATTAATAATAGAGGAATATGCAAATTTTCCAGGACTCCATCACAGTAACGACCAAACAGCAGGCTGTGTGGGGCAACCAGGCCACCTGGGGGGTTAGTGAGGGACGACCAAATGACTGAACAGCAGGCTGCATGGGGCGACCAGGCTGGCAGGGGGGCAGTTAGGGGTGACCAGACCAACAGGGAGGGCAGTTGTGGGAGACCAGGCCAGCAGGCAAAGGCAGTTAGGGGTGATCAGGTTGGCAGTGGGGGCAGTTAGGGGCAATCAGGCAGGCAGGCAGGTGAGCACTTAGGAGCCAGCGGTCCCATTGTGAGAGGGATCCCAGATTCCAGAGGGTACAGGCTGGGCTGAGGGGACCCCCCCACGCCCCGTGCACAAATTTCGTGCACCGGGCCTCCAGTAAATAATTAAGTGTAATTTGAAG